GCTTCATCCCCCCTCCCTGATCTTGTATTTATGCATGAGTGTATGTATGGATGCATGGGTTTTTTATATGGATGCATGGATTTTATATGGATGCAAGGATTGATGGATGCATGGATGTATGAATGTATATATGTATGTATTAATGCATGGATTGATGCATGAACTTTTTTGTAGTAATTTTTTGGTAGTTCTTGTTATGTATCAATATATGCATGTATATATGTATGCATGAATGCATAGATGGATGCAAAGAAGTACGGATGAATGTAGATAATTGTTAATTTTTTGTATAGATAATTAATTGTTGATGCATATAATAGTTCTTGTTGTTCGTATGGATGCTATATGGAGGAAGAAAATCGACTTTTGATGATGGTGGTCAATCTGGGCGAATTCTTCTTGTGATATACATTTGTCATGCACGATGGATTCGCCCAGCTTGACCATCACCGAAAGTCGAAATATTTGTGAGATAGTGTCCGCCATATATACCACCAGCAGAGGGAGTTTCACCATACATGCGTGAGAGAGATGAGAGTTGTTATTGGAGGAAGAAAATCGACTTTTGACGATGAAGGTCGATCTGGGCGAGTTCTTCTTGTGATATACATTTGACATGCATGATGGACTCGCCCAGCTCTACCATCACCGAAAGTCGAAATATCCTTGAGATAGTGTCCACCATATATACCACCAGCAGAGAGAATTCCACCTTATATACGTGAGAGAGATGAGAGTTGTTATTGGAGGAAAAATCGTCTTTTGCCGATGGCGGTCAACCTGGGCGAGTTCATCCTGTGATATACATTTTTCACGCACGATGGATTCGCCTAGCTCGACCATCACCTAAAGTCGAAATATCCGTGAGATAGTGTCCATCATGATTAATTTGCTTAGAAGTAATCTTTGATGCTTGATTCTTATGCTATTTTTCATTGTTTGATGAAAGGTGTTAGCACCGATCAATTTCGTGGCTATGGCTTCCTCCGACGACACATCTTCCATTAGGGTTGACTCCACGGTCAAGGAGAAGCTCGCCGAGGACCGCTT